TTCTTTTACTTTTAATATATTTGTGTCTTAGAATCTAAAGTGTGTCATTTGCAGAAAGCATATAGTTTGTATCTTGCTATTTTATCTAGTCTGGCAATCCCTGCCTTTGTTTAGGATGTTTAGACCATTCATATTTAATATAATTGATATGGTTGGATTTACATTTGCCATTTTGCTATTTGTTTTCTATGTCTTGTGTCTTTTAGGTACCTATGTTCTTCCTTGGTTGTCTGCTCTTATGTTAAATAAGTATATTTTAGTGTATCATTTTAATTTTTCTGTGGATTTTTTTTACTGTATTTTTAAAATTTATTTTCATAGTGGTTGCTCTAGGGCTTACAGTGTGCATCTTAACATAACCATCTACTTCAGATTAATAGGAACTTAATTCCTATAAAATAGAAACTTTGCTCAGTGAAGCTCCATTCTTTCTTCTTTTCTTTGCATATTCATATTTATTACATGTATATAATAATCCCAATAATAGTGTTATAATTTTTGCTCCATACAATTTTATGTCTTTTAAAAAGGTTAAGAGAGGAAATGAGAATAAGTATATTTAGTCTTTTATATTACCACATGTATTTAACATTTTTGGTATTCTTCATTTCTTCCCGTAGATTCAAATTGCTATCCGGCATGATTTCCTTTCAGCTTGAAGGACTTCCTTTAGTGTTTCTTTTATGGCTAGCTTGTGAATGATAAGTTTTCTGTGTCTTTGTTTATTTGGAACTGTCTTTATTTTGTTTTCACTTTTTTTTTTTTTTTAAGATTTTTATTGGGGAATTGGGGGATGGGAACAGTGCTGGGGAATTGGGGGAAGGGGAACAGATAAGTTGCTGTTGATTGTTCTTCAGTCTAGTTGTGGAGGACATTGCTTCACTGGCCCAACTTGGCACCATCATTGCGCTCTTCTCTGGCGAGGCACATCAGTCGCCGGCTTCTGGACGGCCGCTCACCGCGGCTGCTGGCCGCTCACGCTGGCTGCTGGCTACACACGGTAGCCCATGGCAACCCACTGCCACAGGGAGTGCAGCCTACGCCGTCGCCGGTGACTCACGGCAGCCCAGCTCCAGGTCGAGCTGTTGTTCAGCATCTTAGCTGTAGAGGGCAGTGTCACTGGCCCTCATATGTGGGATCCGAACCGGGGCCCTCTGGTTAAGCCAGTTCTTAACCATCGCACCACTTGGCCGGTCCTTGTTTTCACTTTTGAAGAATTGTTTTGCTAGCTATAGAATTCTTGGTTGATAGTTTCTTTTGTACTTCAATTATGTCATCCCATTGCCTCCTGGCCTCCATTGTTTTTTCGATGAGAAGTTAGCCATTAATCATATTGATGCTCCCTTGTAAAATGATTAGTTGTTTTTCACTTACCTTCTTTAAAATTTTCTCTTTGTCTTTCAAGGGTTCGATTATGCTTTAGGTGTAACCCTTTTTGTATTTATCCTACTTGGGATATGTTGAGCTTCTTGCATGTGTAGATTAATGTTTTTCATCAAGTTTGGGACATTTTCAGTCATTGTTTCTACAGGTATATATTTTTCTATCTCCCTTTGCCCCCTCCTCCTGGGACTCTAATTGAATGTATATGATATGTTTCATGTTTTCCCACAGATCTCTGAGACTCTGTTAATTTTTCTGCAGGTTTTTTCTGTATATTCTTCAGACTGGATAATTTTCTCTCTGTATACACAGGTTCACTGATTATTTCTTTTGCCATCTTGAATCTTCTGTTGAACCCCTTTAATGAGCATTTAATTTTTTATTGAACTTTTTTTTTTAATTAAAATTTTTTGGGTGACAGTGGTCCACAAAACTACATAGGTTTCAAGTGTATAATTCTGTAATACATCATTTATATATTGCATTATGTGTTCACCACCCAGAGTCAGCTCTCCTTCCATCACCATATATTTGACCCCCTTTACCCTCTTCTATCGTCCCCCCTCCACTCTTATCCTCTGGTAACCACTAAACTGTTGTCTGTGTCTATGAGTTTTTGTTTCTTTATTTGCTTGTCTTGTTCCTTTGTTGCCTTCAGTTTTATATCCCACATATGAGTGAAGTCATATGGTTTTTGACTATTTCTGTCTGACTTATTCACTTAGCATAATGATCTCAAAGTTATGAACTCTTTAATGCTAGAATTTTCATTATCTATCCCTATCAAAATTATTTATTGATTCATTGTTATCACATTTTCTTGTAACTCTTTAAACATGTTTTCCTTTAGTTCTTTGGATATAGTTATAAATATCTACTTTGAAGTTTTTGTCTGCCAAATCCAACATCTGGGTACATTCAAAAATAGTTTTTATTAACTGCTTAAATTCATGAGTATGGGTCATATTTTCCTGTTTCTTTTGCATGTCTCAAAATTTTTTTGTTGAGAATTTAATATTTTGAGAATATATTACAGCAACAATGCTGATGGTTGTTATTTCTATTTTATTTGTTTGTTTAGTAAGTTGCCTGGAATACATCTGTGAAATGTGACTCATGTTGATTGTGCTTTTTGCCCAGTATTTTTGTTTTTAATATTTTATTTTTATGCCTGGATTCCTATAGGTTTCCCTTATGCCTGTGTAGCTTAGTGGACAAGTCATATATGTTCTAGATTTTGGTTTTCTTATGTAAAGTAGGAATAATATGGTACCCAACTCATAAAGTTCTTGGGAGGTTTGAATTACCTAATCAGTGTAAAGTACTCAGTATACTGACTGGTACATAATAAGTGCTCAATGGATGTGAGCATTATTATTTATTTATTATTATTGTGTGAGGAAAGTGAGGCTCAGCGAGATGAAGTGACTCAAGATCATACATCTGGTTAAAGCTAGAGCAGAGCTTGAGCTGAGGCCAGTCTGATGGTATTCTACCAGGCTGTACCTCCTGGTTTTGAGATGGCTCTGTCAAGTTAAGTCACAAAATATTTGAGTGCTTGATGTTTACACAAGCTTGGTTATAGAGGAAAATCAAGTATTGGAGTGAAGATTGGAAGAAATTTTACCCCTTGAGCCCCAAGAGTCTATTATTCCACGATAGTGAACAGTGGACCAAAATGGGAACAAGCAGTTTTAGCTGTTGAACCTTGAGCTGGATGGCCCCTATAATCACCTAGTGCTTGTGATCAGGGCCTCAGATTCCTGGGGATCTAAAGTGGGACAGACCACGTGCACCCAGGAAGCATCTTTGGCTCTTAGCTTGGAAAGTGCCTGGCAGAGTTCACCTTACCAGGGCCTTTTCAGGGGTCTGGATTTCTGGAAAGCTCCCTGGGGACCAGCGTACCTTCTGTCACTGTCTGTCCCGCTCAGGAAACGAGAGGAAACTGCAGAAGAAACTTTGCAGATCAGATCATAGCTGTTGCTGGAATGCCTGGCCCCTGTGGTCCCCGCCACCTGACAGGCTCCTCCAGCCAGCACAGAGGATTGTTTCAGCCTCACTTCCTGGATTTCCTCCAAGAGTGAAGGGCAAGTCCTACATTTGTGGTTAGCTGGCTAGAGACTGTTCCTGTTAAGTAGGCCTTTGGGAGGGAAACTAATTTAATTCTGTCCCTTAGACCTTTTTTCCTGTCTAGAAGTGGTATCTCTAGGATCAGAACTTTCCTAGAGTCAGGTGTTTACTCTTACATCTAAATTTAGAGCCAAAGACACTTGTTGAGGCATTAGTTGAATTCATGTCCTTGGGATATATTTATTAACACAGTGACTTTCTTGATTAGGGCCTTTGTCAGAGAGAAAGGGTTTGCTTTTTTCTAAGTATTGGGGTGTGTGTGTGTGTGTGTGTGTGTATGTAAAAGGTTGACAATAGACAAGCACACATTTTTGAAGTGTTTAGTAAGAAAGGGAGGTTTTAACTATTTCCTGGCATTTATCTAGCTTACAGGCGCAAAACTTTGTTCATCATATCTAGGCATGTGCTTAGCCCCAAGTCTTCTCAGAATATTAAGAGCATGTTCACTGTAACGCAGTCTGCATCATTCACTTCTGGCTGCAAATGAAAAAAAGTTTCAGTCAACTGGGACTCTACCTCAATTTGCATGCAAAGCAATTAAAATCAGAGAAGCTTAGAGGAATAGTTTCCAGTGGTAGAATCCCATTTCTTTCTCCTTCTGTAATGTTGCCATTCTTGAGTTCAGTCACTTCAGTAAACATTAGGGCAAGGTATTAGGGGGAGAGTGCCTCTCTGACTGATTGGCTATATTCTCATGGTTCCTCATAACTACATGGATAGTTTGAAATTTCCTTTAACAATTGAATGGGGGTAATGGCTATGAAGGCAGATATCTAAAGAAGGAACACAATAGAGAAAGTTGGGGTTGTCAGAAGGAAAGCTTCAGCCAATATTGCCAGAAAAAGGACGCAGGGAGATGAAGTTGTTATCAGCATTTCACTCACTCATTCATTCAGCAAAGATTTATTGATTTCCAGCTGTGAGCCATGCTGCCCTAAGTGTTTGGGGTGCAGGGGTTAGGAAAAACAGCTGTGGTCTCCTTCCTCATGGAATGTCAAGTGTAGACATTAATCAGTTAATTGAACAGATGGCTAATTAGTTGCAGGTGTGATGAGGGCCGTGAAGGGGAACTAACTACAGGTGGTGTGTTAGTGGGGATTTTGGGGTGTGTGTGAGGGTGTTAAAAAAGGCTTCCTTGAGAGAGTGACATTTCAGGAGAGACTGATGGGTAGGTGGGACGTAGCTGGGCCAGGAGGCAGAGGGGGAGGGTACAGGTTGAAGGCTTTCGGGGTGGAAAGAGCTTAACGTGCCCTAGACACTGAGGCCTGACCAGTGTTGCTGGAGCCAGTGAGCCGCAGACCAGGGCTGGAGGGATGGGCGGGGTCAGGCCACGCAGGCCTTTGGGAGTTGAGAATCAGGGGTTTTATCCTGGGGACAGTGGGAATTGCAGTCATCGATGGAGTTCTAAGAGATGGAGTAATATGGTTTGCATTTTCATTCAGTGGCTTACGTGTTTTTTTCATGCATTTTTTTGTGGGATGGACCAGAAGAGGGGCCTGGAGTTGAAGATCCCCACGGAGCACATCAAAGCCCAGTGAAGAGTTTGAGTTCTGTTTGTGGGGCTGTGGTCAGGGAGCCAGTATTGGATGGTTTGGAAGAGGAGAATGACAATCTGGGGAGCAGCTCTGCAGCGGCTTTCAAGTCCCGGCACACTTACAATAGTACGTAACCGAAGGCAGCTGAGGAGGGCGGCTGAGGCTTTTAGGAGAGAAGCGGCTTGGAATTTTTAAGTGAGTCGGGAAGTTTAGCACTCGCAGCAGGTATCAGAGGGATGGTGGCCTGGGAAAGCTCTGGTCTTCAGAGCTGGCGTGCTAGGGGAGAAGAAGGCTTCATGGGAAAGTAAAGAGGTTACAAATCTGAGTGAAAACCATTGAGGGAGAGCAGGAAGAGGGAAGGGAGGCTCTACTGGACTTGTGAACAGAGCAGTGGGTCTCCAGGTGTAGAGATGGGCATGTGAGTCCCCTTTTAGAGAAGTAAGAGTTAGGGCTCACGCCATCAAGTCAACTGAATAAAGAAGATGTGGTTTATCTATTCAGTGGAATATTACTTGGCCATAAAAAAGAGTGAAATCTTACCATTAGTGACATGGATGGACCTG